GCTAAGGCTAATGAGAATGTCATTAGTTGCAGTTGCACACATTATAATATTGGTAATGATAATATAAGTGTTTTCATTAGTGTATAATCATTTGAAAATAATAATTGTTGTGTTTATGTTACCTTAGAATGAGCCGTTTATCGACACAGGCTGACTTCCTTGGAGTTTCTACAGTAGCCTGAAACCGACAAACCAAACACTGGCTCTAGATAGGGCGTTTGTGAGCGAGTTGCAATCTGCCACTAGATCTTACACACTGGACCTTTAAATCTTGACTTGATGATGTCACTAGACAAAAAATTTGAAGAACCTAAGTACGATTCATCAGCAGGGGGACGTGAATTTCTGTAGAAAATTTCCTAGGAATCCATCCAATTGTTGTTGAGATATTTTACTCAGAACCAAAGTCATTAGGATTCATCCTCTGGGCACTATTAATGGACCAAATCCCATAGCAATCTATCAAATAGTTGTTTTACTTCTTATGTCAAAACCATGGACCATGGAAACAGTCAGCAACAGGTTGCAACAGGTAGAACAAAGAAGCAAAACATGTCTCAGCATGTGGCCCGTAGGAACTGCAGAGATGAAAGTTAGCAGTAGGAATAGCACACATTTCTTACATATCTAAAATTCTTGTTCATTATTGGATTAGCTGGTGGTCAGCTGAAGTGACGTGCATGACTACATGTGTCGATATATAGATAGTTACTGTAGGTACTGTAGATGGCCTACTGCAGAGACTTAATTAGAGCAAGACATGGTGTGTTCGATCCTGTAGGTTGAGGTGGAGAGGTTGTGAGAATAGTCAGAGTGTGGAAGACCTCATTTTAAACCGAAGCACACCAGCTTTGGTCCAATTAATTCGAAGGAGTCACATTACCCTGCTTGTGTGTACGTGTGTGTGTGTGTGTGTGTGGTTGCCTGCATGTAAGAGTAGACATGTTCAAATGTTGTGGATTTATTATGTTCATGTGTGAGATGTTTTTAAATGATGTTGACATGAGATGCATGAAATAATGATGATGTAATAAATGCATAATCATTGTGTAATCAGCTAAATACATTGTAATCATCAAGTTTACACATTTACACCACATTTACATCAGTCATACTCTGTGGCACTTTATATATCTGACAGTTTGATGTGGAAACTAATAATATGGAAAATGGAAAATGCTTTTGTTTGTTTTTTTGTTTATTTTTTAAATGAGAAACCACCCCTTAAAAGGATTCCTAAATCTTAAATAAATAAACCAGTACCATAGCACTTTCCACTTTAATTCTTAGATTTCTTACAGTCTGCTGCTGCTCTGTAAGTAGTGCACAGTTGGTACAGGTTGGACAACCAAATCAATGAGTTGAAAGAGGTTAAACCACAGGGCAGAGCACGGGAACAATAGAGTTTGCTAATAAATCTCTGTGGCTTTGTCACTCTGAGCGACCCCATTCACATTTAGTCATTTGATCCATTGTTAAAATAAATGTTTTGATTGGTGCAGCTTTAAGACATAAGTAGACACAACCTTTCATTATTTCTGTAAAAAGAGAACAGTGGTTATTAGAAAAACAAGATTAATGTTCCTTAATTACATGTGAAACATAGTAAAATTTCAGTGTTAATCAGGAAAATATTTATCTGTAAATGGATGTGATATTTGCTTTAAAACGTAATGAAATATTTAGTTTAACAGTTTAACTGCACCAGATAATATTATTTTAGTTATCACAAATGCGTTTGTGGTTTTAGTGGTTATAAAAAATATAAATATGAATCTAATTACATGCACAAACAGGATTTCTTGTTCTCTCTACTCTGTAATGTTCCAATTTTGCTGACTATAGACTTTTAGTGTTATTACAGTCAATTTATGTAGTTGGTGTATGGGCACAAAAAAAGAAAAGAAAGCATCTCTCTAGTAGTTGACTGGTCGAGTGTCTAAATGGATGGCTAGTCCAGTGGATGAATCATACCCCTGATGTACTAATCTAATGGTTCATCACTAATCTATAATTGACTGGAGTCTATTTTCAGACAAATACCATGAATGGATCTCATTTGCATAAGGATTTTACATGTTTATTTAGGTCTTTGTAGAGCCATTGTTGGCAACAATTAAAGCCAAATAAATTCTTCCGTATTTGTCTTTCAGGTTCACACACCTGCATGTGAGCCACTAACACTCAATTAGATTGGCTGTTGCACATGGGAGTTTCACATCTTCCTCAATTCTTTAGATAAATGGGTTTTTTTTGTTTTGTTTTTGCAGTGTTTGTGAAGAACAGAACAGCACTCTCAGTGAAACTACCCCTAAATAAGGTAAAAAAATACTTTAATTAGACGGCTTGTTGCTGTACTGATTATGGAAGAAAAACATTTTAACCAAAAAGGGAAAGAAAATGGAAATAAATGAAAGGCAACAATAATGTAATGGATTACTTTTTCAGCCACTGTGTGACATACAATCTCTGTAGTATACTGCTAGAAGAATTGTACTTACCCATTGATTGATTGAGAATTGATTGAGAATTTTATTTCGAACATGCAAAAGCCCACAAAAACACTAAAAATAAGATAAAATAAAAGTGAAATGAAGAGAAATATAAATCCAATAAATCCATAGAGAGCTTGTGTGTATCCAGCCAAGCATTTCAGATTCAAACCGCAAGGAGAAATAAGCATGCAAATACCAGAATATCAGAGAGCCAAACAAAACACAGTCAATCCATGTGTTTTTAACTGTATGAAAATGAACAGCAGTTTAAAGATCATATAGTAATGTGCGGACACACAGATAGTGTATTTCTGCTATTTCTTACCTGACCTTTATGGCATATGTGCAGAGTTTAGTAAACCTATATATGTTGGACAAAACAAGTTCTACAAATATTAGTAATGCAGCAGGGTGTGGGGGATCGCCAACCTGAAATCTATCATGAAGGGACAGAATTTCCAGCAACTGGTCCTGTAAAATGGCCTCATATTTGTTGGCCGTTTTTAAACCCTGCAGAACATTGACTGGTCCAAATGACTCCTACGAGATGGCTGCTCATACCATGACAGATCCACCTCCATGTTTAACACCTGGCAAAAGACACTGTGGGTTGAATGCATTCTCTAAACACAAATTGGCCCAGATAGAAAACAAAGACAATTCATCAATCCATATTACTTTTACAGTGCTCAGACTCTATGTCCTCACACAACATTGTGCTTTTCTTTGAGCTGGCGTTGCATTTAAATGAATAGAAAGTGCTGTGGATGTGTTCACTTTTTCAGTGTGTTATCATGATTTTTTTTTAGACTTCCCCCATTACCACATTATGTAACTTTGCCGTTTTTGTGATCAAATCTGTCATCCAGGCAAAGCATATTTGGGCTGCCTAATGTTGTTTTTCAAAATTTAAATAAATAATGACTGTCAAGTCTTATTTCACACAAGAGTTGCAGCTCAAAGTGATGGATGATAAAACAAACAAACAAACTTAAAATACTAAATAACACTTTAGCATTTATAAGCAGTATTCAAACATTTAGTAAAATGTTGATAACACGTAGTTGTAAGCATCATTTTAGGTATCTTTATCTCCATATTTCATACTACTACAAATTTGTTTTACTATGTGTCAAATGCATTAATAAACACTTATATCTGCTTAGAACTACTCACTATTATAGAAAGGTAGTGAGTATACACACACACACACACACACACACACACACATACACTGTACTTGTAACATGATTTTCATTCAACATGTATTTTGAATTTTCTAAAGCGATCAAAGTGCAGTTCATCTTCAACTTGCTCATTCTGTCTGACTAACAGTCCAGATCCAGTCAGATATCTGGGGAGATATACTCAGATATACTGTCAGGTAAGAAGAAAAATCATCTTCACAGTTAAGAAAGCTATAACAAGGAAGTGTTGGGATTTTTATTTGAAAAATTACTTAAACCGTTAATCCATTTTAAAAATAATTGACTATTAGTTTTCTGTTGATCAAGACTTGTTGTTTCAGCTGTAAGTAGCATACACATTATAGATAAAGGCACAATATTAACTAACAAAATGAGTTTTCAGTGAGGGGATTTAAACACTTCATTTGATGTTGTTGTCCACAGATGAACATGGAGACTGTTCCAGTCACTGGGTCCAAAACTACAGAAGGCAGCATAGCTGCAGGACTTTGTCAGAGTTTTTGGTACAGCAAGCAGCAGAGAATCTGTGGATCTGAGGGCTCTACCAGGGACATATCCCAGCAATATATCAAAGTCAGTGGCACGTCTGTGTGGAGATTTATAGAAAAACACTGGGATGTAAGAAACTATCCAAAAACAAACTGGAAGCATAGTGACTTGACAACAGGCATGATGTGAGCTCTTTGTTCCAGTCACTTCAAGCTGTGATGATTTATAGGCTTATTTGTGAGAGATGAGCGCACTGCACTAGTAAAGCACTGCACTACAGAAGTAAAGCAAAAGTTTAATGGCACTTTTAAGTAATTGTGACTATAATAAAACTTAAACAGTTTATTTCTCATGGTGTGTTTACTTTATTTTGTCAACTCCACCTTATAATATATTATGTAAATGAGCTGAGATGGTGAACACAGCATATTGTCAATCCACATCTTCACCAGTTTGCCACCGGGAAGTCCAATTAAGGCGTGCGCATTACCGGGGGAGAGGCACTATCCGACAACAATACATAAGAGAACAGATCTCACGTGAATTCTAAATGAGATCCCTGTGACGCTCTCTTTCAAATTTCAATGAGGCGTGAGATAAAACCCACATAACATGCAACACTTTGTGGGTGATGAAACAATACAGCATCCAATTTAGATTGTTTCCCCCTCGTGCCTGCGCTGGGAATAGTTTTATGGTAAATATCATGGGAAGGTTTCACAACCTTCTCATTGGCTCAGGAGTCAGAGACCCCACCATATAAAGCGAGAGTACATCATCTAGCAGCCTTTAACTGCTGGCAAGCGTTTTGGATCACACTTCAACTGACGGGAAAATACCTTTTACGCACAGAGCGCTTGGAGAGGCTGCAGAGGAGCGCACGCCGGCGATCAGTTTTTCTACGGAAAAAGAGTTGTACTGCCAACAGGTTTGTTTATATTTGCTGTTAGATGCGCAGCGCGACCGCCGTTCATACAGCTTTGTTTGAGGGGGAAAAGTTATTAAGACTCGTCTTGGCTCATTTATTTTAAGGATTTCATTGAATAATTGAAATTCCAATAACTTAAAGTGATTTTGATGAGGAGAAAATGGCAGCAGTTTGATTTGTTAAAAACGTTGAATTTGTTTGTTAATGGTACAAATCTCAAAGGCGCTCATGTGAAGCGTTTAGAGGAGTGTTATAGGGTTATTATTTATCTCACTATCTTTGCGCTGTGAATTCATGTTTGATTAAATTGCTCTTTGGAGAAGCTTTAGGCGCTCTTTTAATGTCTGAATTGTGAAAGAAATATGTGCTTCTTGGCTGAAACTTAAATGTTTCCTCTCCTCTCCTCTCCTCTCCTTCACCTTCAGTCTAAGGTTTATGTCTTAGGTTTATGTCTTATGCGGGATAATATTTAGTAAACCTCAACAAAAAGATGTAATTCAGTTGATTTTTGTTAGTTTGTTGTGGTTGGATGTGCCCTCTCTTCTTCATGCATCACTTTTCTGTTAACAGAGAAGCTGTGAGCTGAGGCATCTGAGTGGGCATGTGGCTACTGGAGAAGCTCCGGAGCAGTGGGACACAATCCCAGCCCCCGCAGACAACAGAGGCCATTCCCATCTCTGTTTATGCCAATGTCCTCACTCCAGACAAGATACCTGACTTCTTCATCCCCCCAAAACTTATCTGCTGCCCACCAGATGAGTCTGTCACCCCAGAACCTCAGCACAGCTCCACACTGCGACCCTCCTCCTCTGACCATGCCATCTGCAGCCAGAGTCCCAGGGCTCGGAGCAGCAAGAACCCCTGCAGCCCTCGCCTCTTTTCCCGCCTGGTAGGAGACACCCGCAACCTCCAGAAGTCAGCCAACCGTCACATCATCCAAATAGAGAGTGCTGATGAGCCAGGTGCCGGATCTGCAGACAGGGTCAGCGTTGAAGTTAATACTAATGCAGACCCCCAGTCACAGACTGCAATGTCTCTTCCGTATGTCCCCAAGGCTCAGACGTCCTACGGGTTTTCCACCCTGGTGGAGTCTCCTCATACCCGACGCAAGGAGAGCCTGTTCCACAGTGACCCCAGCAGCCCTCTTACCTCCCCAAACTCCCAGAGGCGCTCCCAAGGGGGGACACTTCTGGCCCCAGCGGACCCCAACTCCTACCGCTATTTTAGTGGTGGAGAGAGCGACACCTGCTCCTCAGCAGAGTCATCCCCCTTTAATTCCCCTCTCCTGTCCCGCTCTGCCTCTCTGCTACGCTCCATTACCCAGGAGACACAGGCCAAGGTGGGGACTGTTTCTGTAAGGGTCTCTGTGCATGGGTCGGTCGTTATAAAGCTATTCATGAAAGTGTTACAAAAGTGTTTCTTGTTTAATTTACCACGAGGCTCTTTTCTTTATGTTTACCAGTTGATTTTTCTCTCTCCCTCAAGGTGTCTCGTGCCAAGCGTTCCCTGGCACGCCACAGTTCTCTCTCCACTGATGATTGCAGCTCTGCAGACAACAGCCCTAACATGCAGCGGCGACGTATGCGCTGCCCCCCGTCTCCTGCCTTCCGTGGATGTAAAAGCAGTGGCTTGAGGGGCACCACGTCGGACCTCCTGCAACGCGAGCACACCATCAACCTCCACAAGGGGGGGACACTGAAGCTGAGCACTCACTATGATCCGGATGCAGCTCGGCTGAGGGTGCGCGTGCTTGCAGCTGAGGCCCTGTATGACAGGCAGACGGACCTTAAAAGCATCAACTGCTGTGTAGCACTCTACCTGAACCCCGGTAAGCAGCAGAAACAGAGGAGCACCATCATCAAGAATAGCAGGAATCCAGTGTTCAATGAAGACTTTTTTTTCGATGCGCTGCCCCAGGCACAAGTAAAGAGTCTGGCCATGAAGATAAAGGTAGTGAACAAAGGAACCAGTCTGAGGAGAGACGTGCTTCTAGGAGAAAGGGAGGTGCTGCTCAGCGAGCTGCTCTCAGGCCTCTAGGGAGTCCCTGTCAAGACTTCGGTGAAAACAAGCAGCTCCACATCTTGAGGGCCCTTTCTTCTCTGGCTCGCTTTCCATCTCACTCCACAGATCTGATAAATACTGGGCAGGTGAAAGCAAGCTGATCAAGACAAGAGATGACAAGAGAGCTGTATCTTGCACACTGTGTTATGTTCCTTAATGGACAGAAAAAAAAACAGGCTTCTGTAGAATTAAAAATCCCATTTTATGAAGTTCCCATCACTGGAGCTCAGTCCATTATTTACATGCTTACCAGTATATTAGCAATGTGGACAGTGGAGCTGTTGTCCTTGTTTGTGTATTTCTCTTTAAGTATTGAATTACAAAAGGTGTTGCCTTCTCTAATGAGCATTGTGATGTGGCTCAGTATCATATCTGCTGTAATGCAATGATGATCTTGTTTAAGCTGGAGTTGTATTTTTTGTAATAATGCCGTGATATTACATGTGGGTTTTTGCTTGTTCCTGTGGAAAATTAACAACGCCTCTGTGTACTTGAAAGAATTTATATTTGGGAATTGGATTTGAATTGCTCATGGATGTAATGTTAATATGACATTTGTTACATGTTATAAATAAAAACACTAAACTCTCACTGGTGCTTTTTCACCTGCAGCTTTGTCTCTGTGATTTTGTCCTTTAATAATTCCTCAGCACCAAGAAGAAGGAAATGATTAGTTTGCTTCCCCAAGCTTTCCATTTCGGAGGCTGGGTCCTCTGAGACAGACAAAGGCTGGGTGTCATTTGTGGGGCTTTTAATCCTGGATCTCTGCATGCAATATTGTCTCTGTGTGCATTCAAACTCCCCGTTTAATTTTAAAAACATGCTACTCAGCTCTCCTTCAGTGAGTTTCAAATAGTTATTAAGGACGACAGGAGGTTTAATCATGGCTCAATCACTCTCCTGAAACAAATAGTGGCACACTCTCCCGCTCTAGATACAGTTTATCTCTACAGCTAGTTATATCTTGCTCAAGTGTTCAATACTTGGGATGATAAATAGAAATGCATTTGTGCTGAGGGAGTAGGCCACAAGAAATATAAATCACAACCTATAGTTCAGTCAAGCATGGGATGGTCTCACTATGTAAGCGCATTATCCAATTGTGAATCTTATGCATCCTCTACTGGTGAAACATCAGAATGACACTTCACAATCCCCTAGAAATATTATTAAATTTGAAGCATCAGATCCATTTTTTGTCAGCTTTTAATTGGCTGTTGACCTGCCCAGGGTGTCTCCTGTCTTATACCCACTTAAACTGGAACAGACCCTCCTATGACCCTGAGAAGGAAAGAAAAATACATTTAATTTAAAATGTAAACACTCTAAGGACACTCTGGTTTATGCTGTAGGGTGATCTGCAGTCAGCTCTGTTTGCTTATAAAGTACTGAAATAAGTCGCAGCAAGCACCCATGTGGGACGTATTCATCTGTGAGCTTAAAGGACATTAATTTCCCACAGACTTGAAACCAAAAAGATAAAACGGGTGAAAAAATATAAGTTTTTGCCTCTGTAGTAGCTTGGTAAGGAAACTTACTGAAAAGTGATTGTCTAATAATCTCTGAATTAAGTAAACCATTCAGCATTTTTAAACAGTTTTTCTGTTAACACTTTCCCTAAAAAGTTATGTTTGCAATCAGTGTTTTAGTATTAGTAATGGGGTCCAACATTAAAACAACATTTTCTGGCAAAGTTAGAACAGTTGTGATTATTTAACTGAAACATTTCTGTCATGTTTTTCTCTGTGCTCTAAGTGATTTATAGTGGGTGGGGCTCAGTAGGCAAAAGTTTATGTCACCCACAGAGGCGGCTCTAGAGGGGTGGCATGGGCTGGTAGCTGCCTCCCCTAAAAAATGCCTTGCCACCCCAATTTGGTGTCAAATGCTGTGAAATTTAATTTAAAAAATGTAATACAAATCAGAATCAGAATGAGGTTTATTGCAAAGTACATTTTTACACATTCAAGGAATTTGTATTGACAAAAATAAAGCACTTTTTAAAATATAAATAAATAAAGATAAGGATAAGGATAGAAAGATCCAAAACTGTACAGGAAATGGGAGTGCATTAATGTAATGCAAATCTTCATCATCAACAAAAATGGTGCATTGCAATACATTGTTATGGGCACATAAGTGATTAAATTCAATGTAAAAAGATGATGTTTTTGCAAAAATGTCTTTTTATTAGCTTCTAATGCCAACATTAGATATTTCTATTTAGTGCTTTATGTGCCACAATAATGTTTGAGTTAAAATGTCTTTAATTTGTTTAATTTCTTATTTGTTTTCCATTTCCAAGCAAATATTGATATATATGACTGTTTGTGATTAAATCAGCATATATTTTTGCCACCCCTTAGAGTCTCTATGCTACTCTATGAATATTTCTCAAATTTTATAATCAAATCAGTTGGTTGGTTACAAATTTGAAACCAACCTTTCAGCAGCTTTAAAAACATACAGCAGTGTAGTACTTTGTCATTAGATTACTTCAGTTTGATATTTTATATACCCCGTTTTTAGCTGAATTTTAACAGTCAGGGCACTTTGTGATACTGACAGAGATGAATGAGTGACTTTGTCAAAGTTAAGCTTGAGAAGCCACCCAGGCACTTTTAAATGTGCTAATCATTCATAAGCAAGAATTACTGCTTTTTGAAAAAGAAATATCACACCATCTGGCTTCCAACAAGGTAATAACTCTGACACAGTAGTCTGATGTGTCCTGAATTTACTTTGTACCATGACCACTACTCAAAGTTTTAATTTGTATTCAGAATAAATACTGTATATGCTCTCAAAAAGAACATGAAAGACACATTATTTAATGATGTTTTTTGTTTCCACTCCATCTTTTAGTTTGATAAAAAACTGAAGATGACTTTGTGAGGCTGTCGGCAAGCAGGTGTCATGTCATTACACCAGGACTCAAATCCTCAGAAGTGAACTTATTCTATGAATTTATAAGAAAGTCTAATCCCTCTTCGCCGCTCAGCTCTCATCAACAGCTGCAATATGCTGCATGCCACACTGCATTTATGCATATAAAAGTAGGTAGATGATTTTTCATACTGCGGAGAGACACAGACAGAAGAGTCGATATCCACATTCCACTGAATGTAAGGTCCTGGTGTTCACGTATACAGCATTATGGATGTCAATATTCAAGTCAATATTCTGGCTAGGGGGGATAAAGTAATTTGATCTCCTTAAGACAATTAAGGGTGTTTAACTCAGCCATCAGCCAAACAAAATTAATTATTACAACACTGTTTTAATGGTGGAGCAGGTTCAGCTTCCTGGTTATTCACCACCCTATTAATGTGACATGACTGCAGAGGTCTGATGCTGCTGGCAGCAGATGATGTTTGCTTACAATGCAGGAGATGAAAATCAGGTTACTGTCATCTGACTGTGTTGATTATTTCTTTAGCCTGTTTTGATTTAGAGTGAAACCAATGATCTGAAATTATAGTTGGTATTCTTTTTTAAGTGGTTTTGAAAAGGCCTTACAAACACACTCTTTTCTGGTCCTTTGTGAATATATTTTATCATTATAGGTGATAATCATTGGAGGAAACATCTTTGTTTTGGAGTTTTGTAATAATTGCACATAGGCTAGGTGGAGAGGAGTGCCTTATCTCTATTGTTCCTTCTGTCAGTTTCCTAGTTTCTCCAGCAATAGAATAATTAACATGTTTGCTATCATTTGTCATTAGGCTACTTTAACAAAAACAACAACAACAAGTTTCTTAAATGTCTTAATGGGATAACCCATAGAGTCAGTAAAATAGTTCTAAAAACATATTTGTGAATTAATTTCTAAATAACCACCAGTGTTGGGCAGTAACTCATTACTAGTAATCATATTACAGTATTAATATTACTTTTCCCAGTAACTAGTAGTGTAACTAATTACTAATACATTTCAGTAATTATTGTCACCCTCTGCTAATTAAAAATCCAACAATCCAATCACATCCTTGGATTCATTTTTGTAATCATGGAGGAAACTAGTTTGGAAGATGGAATCGCTTACAATATTTGAACTGACAAAACTGGATTTTAATCATTGTAAGTCTGAACTTTGGGGAGAAGGGACACAATTACCAATATTGTGGGGAGTAGCAGAAGTAATATAACTAGCAGTGTAACTAAGTACTGTTGGCAGGGAGTAATAAGTAAAGTAATAATATTACTTTTTAAAAGATTAATGAGAGTAACTGCCCCAACACTGGTAACCACACGTTATCACATTTCTATTAGTACAGCGTAAGGCACAGGTTCCCACTGTGCTGAATCAACCCACCATTTAAATCTGCACTCTGTCTGCGGGTCTACTCGGTTCGTGAGACGGGCATCAGCTGGCCCTCTCCGTCTACGGGAGGCGGTGCTCTTTTTTCTTCCAACCACCATAACAAACGAACCCATCAGCTGGTAGGTCATTTAAATCGCATGCATCATGGGTAATAGAGTCCTTCATACAGTAAAAACGCCTTCTGCTCTTGAAACGGGGAATTCCATCAAAACTACGTCACCCACAATGCCTCGCTGCAATCGTAAACATAGACCTGTCAAACAACACAAACGCCATCTTGACAGCACCCTCAAAATGGCAGAAAGATGTGAGCTAGAAACCGAGTCCAAACTAAGATTCCTGCTCTCTGTCTTTTAAAAACACACTCGACAGTTCTTCCACAAACGAGCGGTAATGGGGTTGGAGTCCAGCACGGCAGCTCAGAGCCTGTAAAATGGATATAACGACGGCGGTTTTCAACGCGGCCAGAGATGGTAAGCTGAAACTTATCCAGAAGTTGCTGAGCAACAAAACTCCTGAGGAGCTGGAGGCTCTGGCCGAGGAGAAGACGCAGGGTGGCACCCCTCTGCTGATAGCCTCTCGATACGGACATTTAGAGGTTGTAGATTACCTCCTTGAACATTGTAAAGCAAATGTTGAACTCGGGGGGGCGGTTAACTTTGACGGCGAGACCATCGAGGGGGCTCCGCCGCTGTGGGCGGCGTCGGCAGCCGGTCACCTCCCCGTGGTGAAGACCTTACTGAAACACGGTGCCTCAGTCAACAACGCAACGCTAACTAACTCAACGCCGCTCCGGGCTGCCTGCTTCGACGGTCACCTGGAGATCGTCCGCTACCTGGTGGAGCACAGAGCCGACATGGAGGTAGCGAACCGCCACGGCCACACCTGCCTCATGATCTCCTGTTACAAGGGCCACAAGGAGATAGCCAAGTTCCTCCTGGACCGGGGTGCTGATGTCAACCGCAAGAGCGTGAAGGGAAACACCGCCCTCCACGACTGTGCCGAGTCAGGTAGTCTGGACATTATGAAGATGCTGCTGAAGTGCAACGCTCGCATGGAGAGAGACGGATACGGCATGACCCCGCTCCTCGCTGCCAGCGTCACAGGACACACCAACATCGTAGAGTACCTCGCCCACCAGCCTCGCACCTCCAGAGAGGAACGCATAGATGCACTTGAACTCCTTGGGGCGACTTTTGTGGACAAAAAGCGGGACCTCTTGGGGGCGATGAGGTACTGGAGGAGGGCCATGGAGCTGAGGCAACCAGGGGACAAAGCTGGATCCCTGGCCAAGCCTCCACCTGGGCCCCCTATCCCTGCTTATGGCTGTGCGCAGGAGGTGAGCACTGCAGAGGAACTGGAAGCTTTGATCACAGACCCTGATGAAATGAGGATGCAGGCCTTGTTGGTTCGAGAGCGCATCCTGGGGCCATCCCACCCAGACACCTCTTATTACATCCGCTACAGGGGAGCCGTGTATGCTGACTCAGGCAACTTTGAACGCTGCATCAGCCTGTGGAAATACGCTTTAGACATGCAGCAGAGCAATCTGGACCCCCTCAGTCCGATGACCGCCTCCAGTTTTCTGTCCTTTGCAGAGCTCTTCTCTTTTGTTCTCCAAGACCGGGCCAAAGGCACCCTGTCAACGCGTATCACCTTCCACGATCTCATGACTGTGCTGGGGAAAAGTGTGAGGGAAGTAGAGAGAGCGGTGGCGCAGAAGGACAACCCTCCAGAAGCTCCCCAGTTCACCAAAGCCCTCTCCATCATCCTCCACCTCATCTTCCTACTGGAGAAGCTGGAGTGCAGCCCAGAGCAGGAGCATCAGAAGAAGCACACAGTGTACCGTCTGCTAAAGCTGAACCCTCGAGGCAGGAGCGGCTTCGCCCCCCTCCACATGGCTGTAGACAAGGAAACCACGTCCGTGGGCCGCTACCCCGTCGGCCGCTTCCCCTCCCAGGCGGTTGCAGCGTTGCTCCTAGAGTGCGGCGCGGACGTCGATTCACGCGACTGTGAGAACAACACACCGCTGCACGTTGCTGCTACCAACGGCTGTCCAGAGATTATGGCGCTACTCATGAAAGCTGGGGCTCATTTTGACGCTAAAAATGCACAGAGGAAGACGGCCTACGAGCTGCTGGATGAGCAGAGCAGCGGGCACCCGGCCCTCTACCCACTGAACTATATCACCCTTCAGTGCCTGGCGGCGCGTGCAATTGAGAAGCACAGACTGCCCTACAGGGGACTCATCTCTGAGGAGATGGAGGCTTTCATTGAGCTGCACTGACTTCCACAACTGTCCCCTGGTGAGGCGTCCCCCTGCACTACTCTTTCTGTTGTCCCCCACACCTTACTGTGACCTGCCACAAACTTGGTCCTCCACGCCATTCTCCCTCATCTTCGTCTCCTTTTGACTTCTGCTTCGCTCCTGACTCTACCAACCTTGTGTCAGACCAAACCATAGCAATAAACACCCAGCCTCGGGGCTTAAATCTCTGGCTGAGATCTGGTCAGTTCTCGCTTGATTCTAACATAAAGTCACATGGACGTTCAAAATGATTGTTGGTTTCTACCGCTATTTAAAGCTGGATGAAACTTCAACTTGATATAGGCTTTAATGCATTTTCCCTCTTTTTGTCCCAGTAAGAAGGAGACTCCCGGTATGATTGTGCGTGTTTGCTGCTGGCTGGACTGTATGAAAGATGGGTTTAAGTATTACTGATAGGAGGCGTCTGAACAAACTAGCCAGGTAACATGCATGAAAATGAAGAGTGAATATGGTCGCTCACTTGTTGTTTTGCAAATCATTCAGAAAGGATGTGTTTGAACAAACTCAACCACCAAAACGTGCGCACGCTGGCATTTTTTTTTTTGCCTGGTTCTGTTTGTTTACATATACCATCTGCTATGTTTCTCTGGTGTGGGACGGTGTTGAACTTACTGTGCCAAATGTCAGCCATGGAGCCATGTTCTGTTACAGACTAAACTGGTGGGAAAGTGAGAAGAAACTAACTTTTAACTATAAACAGAGGTAACAACCGAGGCCTCCAGTTCCAGAAGATATTTGATATTTCAGACTGACGTGATCTGACGGCCTGCGGAGCCGTCATTTTGAAAGACTTTTATGAGATAGAGGATGAGTGGTATCATCACTCTGACTATAAGTAAAAAAGAGCGGGTGCCGTTGTTTGGCTAACACTCCCCAGTCTCTCCACACAGACGTTCATAACCTATGCAGTTTGTGATATTCCAATCAGAGGCAACATTTTTCAAGCAAAAATTCACCACATAAACAGATTTTACATGGGATTATTTACATGCTTATCTTTACAGGGTAATGACTAAAACCTGGGGCTGCTTCGTTGACAATGAATTGGCATCTTCTGAATTTTATGAACTAAGAATGTTTGCTTAAACTTTCTGCCTATGTCCAAATGAACAATTTTAAACTGGAACCTAAAGTGTGCCTACATCCGTTTACTTCTGGGTAATGTCAGCATCAACAAAGATATTTAATTCACTGTCAGAGAAGCAGTATCAGAAGCAGGACATTTTTTGATGATCACAACAGAGCTTAAGCCCTCTTGTTTGTATCCTTGAGAAAAAGTCACACGCTAACGCATCATGTGTCAATTCTGTTTTGGAGTGAATTTTCCCTTTAACCTCAGATGCAGTTCACAGAAACGGAACAGATGGCTCTACGGGCCATTCCTGCATCTCAGTCTTATTTTTAATAGTCTCTCTTTTGTTTATCTTGTGTCATCATGAATGTTTTATTTGTCTGTCTGTGCTAAGCACCACCAAGTTGAATGCACACTGAGAGGCTCTAAATCCTACATTGACAACTTACATTCAGGCTATGAACTGTAGCTGCCTTTCTTTTTCTCAACTGATTCGTTTAACTGACGGTAACTCAAGAACAAAAGTGTGTTGGAGATACTTGAATAAAATTCAGTGTCACAGCATTATCTGCGGGCGCTTGTGTGTGGGTGATCTCAGTTTCTTTTCTACATGTGACATCTTAACGTGGAATTGCTTTTCATACAGAAGCTAAGCATTAAGATTTCAAAAATGTTAAATTAATCTCTCTTTCCGTGCTCTCATTTGTCACTAGTTCTTTTGCATTTGCATTAAGAGCATCATTATACATATTTAGATGGATTAAAGTGGTTGCAATAGTAGGACATAAAAGCCCCATCAGGTAAGCCAGATCCATAAAATTATCTTATTTATAAAGTGGAAGGCAGTATGTTAGAGTGCATACAACGTGTAACATTAGGAGAATATTAAATAATTATCAGTGCCCACTTAATTCAGCTCTTTATACCAAACATGGACTTTCCACCGCTCTGCTCACGTAAACCCGAGGACACTGAAATAAAGCATAACAGAAACTTGATCTTTCTGAGTCCTGCACTCTTAAAGTATAAATAGAGCGCAATTAACGTCACTGCTGCGGGGCAGTGGTAGAGACAGGGCACTTACCCTGCTAATTTTAGGGATCTTTTGCCCTAGCTTCAACTCTGAAAATGGGAATACTGTAATGCTATACAGTCAGGCAGGACACAGGGTGACTGGCAGAGACAGTACACAGACAACAGAGACTGCATTATTCTGACAACAGAATGAGCTAATTCATTTTAAAGATGAGGATTGCCGGAAAGTCGGCTTAACCTAAAACTTTATCTGCTATTGTAACTGTGTTGATACTGTGAATGTGACAGGTGTCGTGTTGGCGCAGTCAGCAGAGAAACGCCAGCTGGTAAAGAGGGGTTCACGTTCCTCTGACAGCATGCGTCCACCCTGCTGAATAAGATCACAGATCCGAGAGCTCGCTCATAGCTGACCTGACCTCCGACCTTTATTTAAAGGGTGCCAGGTGATTGCGCTAATGATTACCTTTTGACATAAATGAATATACTGACATTAAACGCAGTTCATATGGTGTCAAGAGGTCAAAGACAGCTACAGTTGTTGATGTTGTGGACAAACAAAAAGAACATGTTTCCTGTGCTGCACATAGACAAAGAGGTGGACCAATAAGAAGTAGGCTAGAAAATGCTTTTTGTGGTAATTCTACTGCTTATATTTAGTGTCATGAAGTTAAAATATTTTCAAGAGCATTTTTTTCTGCCAACAAAAGAGACTTGCTTGAGCAATATTGACATAACTGATCCTGGATTCATGGACCTTTTGTGTTAATGCTCAAGTAAATGCAACATCACATAATAGCAAGTTCCCACTAGATGTCAGTAGCAACAAAGAAAATCAATCAGAGGGGGCAGCCTTTGTCCCCTTAACACCATGTGAATGACTCAAAAACTGTAGCTTCCAATTACCATCAGAAGTGGTGGCAGTTAGTTAATTTCCCTGTCTCTTTCTCCCACTCTGGCAAGCTGTCTTTGTGTCAGAGAGCGAGAGCGAGTTGTCGAGAATGACTAAGTTTTTACCAAGCTATTAGGCAGGGTTGAATATGCATTTGTAATGCATCTGGATGAACGGATCCAAATCCAGGCAGGCAGAGTTGCTGACGCTCGTTGTGTTCAGAAAAGAGGTTTGAAGAGAGCCTCCTTCACACAGTCCTGAAGCATCAGAAGAAGCACACAGCCAACCTCCAACACCTCACAATTTGCCCTTGTGGCGGTTGTTTATGTCATGTTGTGTGACCTAAATAAGAACCAAGTCTTAAAAAAAAACAAGGCCCGTGTTTGTCTCTGTAGCATCTTTTAGAATTAAATGCATAGCGCTTTGTTATAATTTTCACACATTTTCGGTTTTTATCAAATTTGTATTCATATTTTCAAGCAAAATTAATTGGTTGACGTGGGCAATATAATGAGTCACATCTGCACATTTATAATGTACATTTTCCAGTATTTTACATGTTACTCGAGTCGTAAGCCGAAGGTCAGCTATTAAAATTCATTGCGTACACAATTGTAATCCAGTTGGCCTTGGTTGAAGGGTTTGCCCTCAGCCATTTCCATGTGATGTTCTCTTGCTAGCAGCCAAAGTGCATTGAGGACTTTACCAATATAATGTGACAAAAGTGCAATCTATTCCAGGTATTTCACTGTCTCTTTGATCTAGTGATAAAAATTAAAGGACAAACACAATAAATATGTCTGGTCCACAGTGAAGGGGGGGAATCCAAAAGATAAAAGTGTATTTGGGGCAACATTGAATATTAATAATTGATTCATTACCGAGAAAATAGTCTGCCCTCATTGATATAAATGGGAAGGACAAGATATCAGAACAGTCCAACAGCACAACGAACTGCATCCAGTAAAGTTGAATGAACGGCTCTATAAATCAGTTTAAACAAAAACTGAACTTTAAAACATTGGTGAAAGTAAGATTTATTGAGGAACTGTTGTATTAGACTACATTAATTTAGCTACTAAGTGTATGTCTCCAGCACAATAAATAACAGTGAGGTAACATCTATTGCCCTCAACAAGAAGCACACAGTTACCCTATCCTGTATTATCTACCTCATGGTGTTATTAATATATTCTCATAATGTCTCACAGTGAGCTGTGTTTCCTCAACAATATTTCAGAGTGTCCGGCTATAATTTAGTGGGGAGTTCTGCTCTGTGGGAGCTGTTATGGGGCTCCGACTCTTTATTCCTGCCAACATCCATAATTAGACACTATATTATGGGAATCTACGGGGTTTCAAGGTGCTTATCTTCATTTTACCCCATGAGGAGCACAGAGGTAAAAATCTGCCACCAATACACCAGAGCATCCTATCTCAGCAGCCACCTCTTTGCACCAGTCAGCGATCCAGCCAGAGCTGGAGGAGGTGTGTGGGGGGGAGGTGGTGTTGGGTGGTGGGTAATGGGGGTAATAGGGGTGATGGGGGATACGGTTGCTATTGGAGATCTTGCCTGCATCACGTCATGTGTAGAGGGGAGGGGGAGGGGGAGAGCTCCGGTGTGTGTTTGAGAGAGAGAGAGAGATAGAGCGGGGAGGGGGAGGAGAGGACAGGAGAAGAGAGGGAGGGAAGGAGGAGGGCATTCAGGAAGAAGGCAGGGAGTATCAATGACATCAACCAGCAGTGTCTGAGGCCGGTCCGACCAGCAATGCTCTCCCGACAAAAGGGCTGAGGAGCAGCCGTGACCCCGCTGCGTTCCCGAGAGGTCGGTCGGTCGGTCGGTCGACAGCTAGTCAGGGCGGTGGGGAGACGCCGGCGATGCGCGCATGCATCCACCACAAAGGCAGACCCTTTCTCTGAGTGGAGCTCTGCTGCCACTGGATTACATCCATCCCCGCTGTTTGACCGAGGAAGCTTCCAGCTGCAAATCCACCCACATGAATCTACCAGACAGTAAAGAAGACGGAGCACTTCCTACCAAGGTAACCAGCATCTTGCATCCTTTATACAGTTGCTGTTTGCAGCCGTGCACCCCACCCAGACGGGTTATTTTCACTTGTCGAATATTCTCTTTTTTTGGGGACCTAATGAAATCTCACCTTCTGCCGGGGTGAAATTGCACCGTTCAGCCTTCATCTCAGGCGGCCGGGAGGCTTCTTTGCGGGGGTTTTCTTTGTCCTCAACATCACTTGACACTTTGTTTCAAGCGTTTGGGTGAAAATCAGACCGCGGGGTTTGAGCAGACCAGGCTGGTTGGCAACAGTGCTGTGAGTGCGCGTCCCCCCTTCACTCCCCCCCTCCTCCTTATTGTTGGCTGGGCAGCAAGAGGGACCGGGGCAGACTGGCAGAGCCTTTGTTCCTCATCCACTCTCATTTTAAGTGGCTTTTACTGATGGCCCTTTAAAGCACCCTCCAGGTGTAATGGGTCTCACGTGGAGACAGATTTTTTAAGTCTCAAGAAAGAATTAAATAACAATGTAAAACAACCATGAAAAATAAATAGGCTACAGCACCTGCATCCTATAGAATTGTCAGAAAGAATAAGCCTGTTATAAGTCCTGTTATAATGACATTTGATGCCACAGCAAAGTAAAAATCCCATTATGATAATTTCATACTCAACAATTTTGAGAGGGCTATTAGAGATATTATATATTCACATTATACTCATTTTAAAGTGCTATTAGTTGGTATGGACGGCACCAGGTGGCAAGGTGGATGGACTCATTTAGCAAGACTGTTTTCTAGACAATAGAGTGGCTGCTGCATCTGCTACTCTCAAGCATTACTTAAAACAAGCCCATCTGCACATATCGGCTGTGTTTTGCAGTCCATAGACCTCTCATATGTCTATAATTATACGCAGTAGGATTTGCTGTTAACGCAGCCACTCACACATACAGGCAGAGTGTAATTTAATGATACATCGATTCATCCTGACACATTTTCCGAGGGCTATTGCTTGTTTTGGATTTAATCATGTACTGTACACTCCAAATGCCTGTTTAGGTTTTCTGTATTTCCGCTGTGTGGCCTGTGTAAACTGGAAAATCGCACTGTCGTGGTGAATCTGAGGGAGGTCTTCCTCCTCACACACAGATGGGAAATTTTCCCTGGGGCACTGCGTTTGCTGGTTATTGTTCCAGACCATTTCCACATCCCTAATTATTTTAATCAGTCATTTTTACACATGGATTCCTCTCCTTAGTAGATCCCTAGATTTTTTTCTTCCCTGGCTTGTAGAATTTCAGCTCCACTCCCTGCCTGATGAAAGTACACAAGCCACATGCTTAAATGAAAGGACCAGGGATCCAGATATTTACATTATTTTGAAAGGGAACAGTCATTATGTGGAAGTAGAATAATTCATTTGGCAAATTTCTGTCTGTCTCAGATCGAATATGATCCAAGAGATGCTCGGCCCCACAGGTATTTATCTAGACACTGTTGGAGAAGCAGTAGCTTATGAAGTCAGTGATGGCATGTACTCCCCTAAATAGCTTTTTACAGGGTTCAACCATAGGCCTCACTGGTTTCCTGCTCTCTCCAAGCAGATACCACTGTAAGATCCATCCGGACTTGAAAATGCCG